CCGAAAGACTCTCCTGAGATACTATTTGTAAATTTTCTTTGAATTCGCAAGTACCTAGCACAGAACTGTGCATGTAATTTTTGCTCAGTTAATTTGCCTGTTTGACGGCATAGAGATTTGTGAGTCAACTTCACAAAGAAAATAATTAAGTTGTGACTATGGATGATACAAAGACAGAGGATAGGCTACAGAGACAGGAACCAAGAAAAAAAAATGACATAGAAGAACTGGGGTGCAGACCAGAAGTATAGGGGTGAGAGGACTCACCAGAGACAGAGTGGGAAGCAGAACAGGTAGACTCACTGAACCACACCACTAAGGGGAGCAACAGGAGAGACAGGAGAGGTCTGCTGCTCCATATGTGGTTTAGCTGCCTAGCTGGGGATCGAACCCAATCCATAGCTGTGAGAGTGCTGAGATTCAACCCCTAGGCCACTAGGGAGGCCCAGAAAACAAAGTCTTAAAGAAAAAATATGGTGAAGAGCTGGGGGGAGGGGTGGGAAAACCTAATAGAAACAGGGCAAGAAGGCAAGTCAGACAGAGAATTAATTAAACAGAGAGGAAGAGAAAAGGGATGAGAAACACAAAAATAGAGTCAAAGGGCCAGGGAGGAAGAGATGCTAATTTATTCAGAATTTGAACATATATATATATATATATATATATATATATATATATATATATATGTATGTATATATATATTATATATAACATACATATAAATTTGAATTTATATAAACCCAAATAGAGAAACAGGGGCATGCAGCAATTACAAAGTCACATTTCATGAGCAAAAGTGAGAATCATAAAATATTTCCTCAATAACTTAAAATAAATAAATAGTTCCTAGAACATTGATTCATCTATTGCATGTGGATATACAGTAAATGTTAATTAATTAAATGAATAACATTTGTAATGATGTTACAATGGTAATAAAAAATTAACTATCTGTCTTTTGTTACATAAGTTTATGCCTGTTAGTTCTACAATTACTTCTAGACCAAACATGAATTTTCTTTATCACTGACTTTCAATATACACTTTAACTTTTTTTCTTAAGAAATACAGTTGAGTTTCTAATTTTTGTCCTAATTTTGTTTTTTTTCTGTTGAGAAAAAAAATTATTTTCTCTAAGTTAATGTCAAGAACTATGTATAACATCCCAAATATAGTTTCACGAGTTCCTTATTTAATTCCAAAATAGTTTTCTCTGCAGAAGTTGTGATACCACTTTTTATATGTTTCTCCTTTTAGCTTATGCTACTTTATAATACTTTGGGTACAATGTCAAATAACACCGCAGAAGAAGGAATCTGGGGAAATTATTGTTAGCATTCCATCTATAAAAGATGGAAGATGTCAGTAACATTCACTCAAAAATTGTGACTCACTTCAGATGTCAGAATTCTAGGTTGAACAGACTGGGTTCTGAAATGTGTGTATGTCAGATTTTCTAATGAGCAACAGATAGTTCCCACTGAGGAATGAAAAAAAAAATAAAAATATAAACAGAGATATAGAATTAAAATAACTTTATGAATGGCAGTTTAACTTCTCCATAAAATTCTCTCAGTACAAGCCCTGTGTCTCCAAATGGTTGCTTAATGTAGCGCACAACTTACATTCAAAATGCTATACTTAAAATTGTCACAAAATTAAAAGGAGAATCATATACCACTTGGCTGTATACCGTATTCCCCGCATGTTCCTACATTCCAGTAACCTCTATCCAACTTTTTTTTGTTACTGAATTACTTTGTGTAAAGGCAATTTAAATTACATGCGGCCCGACTACGTGTGATAATTTGAGCTGATTGTAAATTAATTCTGTAAGTAAATAGCTGCTTTAATCTCTAGACTCATCAAGGTTTCGTTATCTATCAGTGCTTTCTGAGCTGTTCTTTAACGTACGGTATAAAGTAGCTGTAACCGAACAGGCAGGATGTCCTGAGTGTGCAAGAAGGTGGTCTTGCTTTACCAGGACTGCTCAGGAAAAGGTACCTCTATTAAGCTAAGTTATTTGCAAGGCTCAGTTTTGGGGAGGTGACTCATCATGGGATTTGGGGTGAAGAGGCTTTTGCTGATGAGCAGCCTTAGTAGAAAGAAATTAGAGATAAAAGCTAGGACTAAATCAGAGAAAATATTGTGCAATAGAAGGATAAGGATAAGAGCAAGGTTTTTGGACTTCAGCAAGCCTGGGTTTAAATCGCAGTACTGCCATTTACTAATGAAGATGCCGAGGGCAACTTATCTAAATAAACTGTCTAAGCTTTGGTTACCCTCACTCATCTGTTAACTGGGAATGCCAATTTATACATTTCCCATCTGTTCAAAGAGTGACAATATCTACCTCCTAGGGACTTTGTGATGCTTAAGTTAAATAAAGTATTAAAAAACACATGCAAGCAACTTTGTGGTGTGTGTGTGTGTGTTTGTGTGTGTGTGTGTGTGTGTGTGTGTAAAGCACTGGTTTGGTTTTCAACCTGGGTGATTTTTTCCCTGTAAGGAAATTTGGCAACCTCTATAGACATTTTTTGTTTGTTATGAATTAGGGTGATGGGTGATACTAGTATTCAGTGGATAGAGAACAGAAATACTACTAAATATTATACTCTTCCCAAAGCCTGAAAAAATTTGTCTTCTCCAAAATATAAAATACGAGTACAGCTCTAAGGCATAATATGAATGGACATTTGTTTGTGACATTAATTGGTTACTGGAAATTTTGATATCTATGTAAGACAAAGTTAATATTTTTATCATCATTATTATCGTATCATTAATTTGGTGGTTCTTGGATTGGAGAAGGCCTCGAGCTTCCCAATCTCTTGACCTAATTCAATCTATTCAAAATTATGCAAATTGTTATAACAATAGAAGTTTCCTACACCCCAATTTCTATCAGTTCTTTTTAGGGACAATCAAACCACAAACATGAGATTTCAAGTCAGTGGCATAAGAGAGAGGCAATAAAAATAAAACTTGTTGAAAGCTAAGGTTGTTTGGAGTCTCAGAAAGAAAGAAAAATGACCTAAAACAATTATGTGTACCATACTGTTCTCTCCTGTGGCGGTTAGGAGACTTTAGAGAGCAACCACAGTTGGTTTCTGAAAATTACTGATGCACATGTTAGAGGACTGTTCTCTCTTTCCCCACTCTCAAAAAGTGAAGGTTCCTGGGGCTCTGGTTCCCAAACTTGCCCGCAGGTCACAATCACCTAGAGAGTTACAAGAATCCATGGGGACTGTGATTTAAACTCTTGGTCAGGAGAGAGGGGGTAGGAGGAGTTGTCTGAGCCTTACATTTTTTTTTCAACAATTTTCCAGATGCTTCCATCAGCAGTATGTAAACAACTACCCTCGGAGGTAGGGCCAAGTGGAGCATTCCAAATTAAGAAGCCACTTTTGAAAGGACAATGATAATGGGCCTAGAAAATTCTTTTTATGGACTGAGTTGCATAAATATGGTAAAATTAAACCAGGCAGTTAATTGTATTGACTATTTCAGTCACCCCATGAGCATTATTACATCAAGCAGACACTAGGCTAGCAATGGGAATATATCTTCACCCCCTCCCAATAGTGATATCAAATCATGAGACCTATTCCTTGTTCAGGTCTTAAGATGTCACTGGGATTCAGCCAGGCTGCATGCTTTAGAATGTCTTCTGTTAATTATTTTTTCTATCTTAGGACTCTGCTTAGTGGGTGTGGATAAGTTATAAATTAACTATCCCACTATCCATTCTGATGATTCCATTATATGTTTTTCTTTTATAGATGCGATATTGTCACTTCAGCAGCTATTTCTTTGCTAACTTGTTTGATGCTTATAAAAGGCAGGGATGGTGCCCACTGCGGTGGCCACTATTTCCCCTTGCACTTGTGAAACAGCTGCTCAATTACTATGTAAGAACTAGTAAATGAATCTAAAATACATGCAGCACATAATTCTTCTCAGCCACTTCTATGTTTTTTCAAGTTAGAATCTCAGTCAAGAACTGTGTGAAACCATTGCTGGACAAACCTAACCATTGTGTCTGGAGGGTGTGTGGAAAGAAAATAGGTTCCTGAGCAGTACACACCTGAGGCTGCTAGACTATCACCTGAACAGGCACAAAAGCAACAGCAAAGCAGAGAGAAGAGTAAGAATTCAGAGTCTGAGGACACAAGTGATAATGAACTACAGATTGTTCAACTATACCCACTTTTCTTAGACAGGAGAGGAAAATCAAGTTTGTAGAATCAGAGTAAAAATGACTTCATTGAGATTACATCAATTGCAAAGTAACACTGCCCAGGATTTAAGAACCTTTTACTGATTCTCAGATTATTAGAACACTCACAAGGGGCCTTCCTGGTGGCACAGGGTGGCACAGTGCTATCCAGCTATCACCAGGCACTGAGGCACAGTTCCATCCCCAGCCAGGGAGCTGACCCACATGGCATGTAGCAGACCTCTCCTGTCTTGCCTGCTGCATCCCCTCAGCAGTGTATTTCAGTAGCTCCACCTGTTCTGCTCCCTACTCTGTCTTTGGTGAATCCTCTCACCACCCCCCAGCACCTCTGGCCTAGATCCCAGTTCTTGAATATATATATATTTCTAAATAAAATAAAAGATCTATATAAAATAGATCTTTAAAACACTCAGTACTTTGAGAGTAAGCTGACAACATACTATAAATTTTGCTAACCTAAGTGAATGAATTTTTTGATGTTTGTCACTCATCACTTAAAAAAAATCAGTAGAACTAAGTGTTACAAATTACTCTGTTAAGTGAAACTTATAGTGTGTAGAAGTTCTATAACTATTACTCTTTTATTCTAACCTATATTGTTACACAAAGTAATCCTGCTCAATAATGTTCTGTTCTTTTAAATAAGACTTTACTCTTACAAAAATATAGAATGTGAAATTTTCTGCAAATATCCATTCTGAGACCACCAGGTCATGTCAACTATAGTGGATTTGTGTATGTGTTTTCTTTTTTCATCTAGATACGCAACTCACAAATGAAAAGCATGCAGACGAGAAACCTATTAATGCTATCGTTATAAATTCAGTATCTGAATTCAATATCACAGATGGACCAGCCAAGGAAACCCCCAGTGAGAAAAAACTGTCAGAATCCAGCACATCACTGTCCTCCCTTGAAGAATGCCAAACGAAATTTTCCTACCTCCAAACTGATACTTCAGTTCATCAGAGAGACGCTGATGGTATGTTTCTCAGACTCAACCCATCTCTAAATAAAACTCCCCACCCCCAGTCTCTGTAAAATCATCACATATGCTGTTAGGGAAAAAAAAAAAGTCTATGAATATTAAACAAGAAGACTTCAATTTGAAAACCTTGGTGAATGACACATGTCAAGGTCACTTTACAATTATGAGGTGCTTGGCAGATTGTTTGCTCTCAAAGATGGGAGTAGGAAGCAGTGCTTTAAATAGGTGGGGTCAGTTGCAATCATTTTTGCTATGGTGCTGGGAACTCGATAAAGAAAAATGGCAAACTTCTTTCGGTTCCCAGGTCTGGGACTATTCAGTCCATGACTCTAGGCCAGAGGAGAAGGCAGAATGGATTGTTATTGAAATGTTGGGAATGTGAATAGAATATCCAGATGCTTACTACATCAGCAAGCTGTGCAAAATGGGCTGACTCTTCAAGGCAATATCACTTCCTAGGCATTCTGATCCCTGCAAATGAGTGTCAACCCATCCATGGGCATGAAGACACCTTTCATTTGCAAAGTCAATTTCAAGTTGATTTGGTTTTAAATGGTCAGTATAGTCAAGTTTAAAGTCATGGGCTTTACATCAAAAATATAAGGAATTTTATTCAGGTTAACTTTATTGTGGCATTTATAGGAGACAAACCATTCACGAACTTTGTAGAGTTCAAAATCTATATTTGCAATTAAAAAAAAAGCTTATAGTTTCTCAAAGGAAAATATAACAGGATATAATCTCATTTATATTTAAATTCATAAAACCTTTTTGAAAATAAGGGGAAAATTAAATAAACTTTGTATGACAGGAAATTTGGCATCATAAATATCAACATAGAGTTCAGCTCTTGTCTTTGAAATTATTAACTGCATAAAACTGGAAAAGCTCTTACCATCTCCGAATATCAAACTTTTAGTTGCATAGTTGAGCTAATGACACACCATAGGTGTTTTGAAGTTCAAATAAAATAACTTATATAAAACACTCAATACAGAACCTGCTATATAGTAGATATCCAAGCTTTGCTTTTATTATGATAACATTTTAAAAAGTAAGGAGAGAGGAGATTTCTAAAACATATGTATGTATATATTAAATATGTGTATATATACATGTATATATACATATATATGAATATATATTTATAATGCAAATGTCATGTTGAGGACTGTGGCAAGGTGAAGAGCACTGTCTCTATCCGGTTCTAGCTAATTGTTGCCAAAAGGAAATATAGGCCCAGAGTTAAGAGATCTGGAACATTATGAGAAATCTTCAAATTTTTGTGTTGGCAATAGTTCGATTTCTTTTTTGAAGCCTCAGATACTCCCAGTAGCACGCAGCTTTGGGCCAACTTTGTCCTATAGATTGCCAGGATATAACCTCAAATGCAGGATGATGCCCAACTTTCTGACTTTGTTGAAGTTTGATGCCAGTTAGAAAATAAGCAATACAGGAGAGTTCTCAGCAAAAGTATTTGGACACTAGAGCACTTTATCAGATTGTATTAGGGACATATGGATCTTACTTGTAATGATTCCTAGTAATCCCAGAATTGGAAATTGCACTGATATGTCCACACCTTATACAGCCACTACAGAACACAGATTTGTCCTATTGGGGATCCTGAGAAACCGAGCAGTGCCATTGAAGCTAGTATAAAACCTGAGCCCTGGATTCTCACGCAAGGGCCAAAATGACTATTCCATTAAAATAGCAAGTGACACTGAGGAGCCTCATGAAGGAAAAGAACTGATTACTCTCTCTTCAAAAGAGCAAAGGAGATTCTTGTGGACTGTTGAATTAGATTGCTTTCTTAAGGTCTGCCTGAACAGAGGCCAGCGTGACCCAGGAAATTCACTTTTAAGTTGACAACATAGGTAATAGCCTATTCTTCCTTTCCCACATTGTGAAAAATGCCCCCAACTAGGTAAGAATTTTTTGGTATCTAGATAAAAGAGAGACTAAAACACCCAGACTAAGGCCCATAAATAGAGATAATAAATCCTCATTATCCTAAAGAGCAAACATCAAGGAAATCAAGAGTTAAGTCAGACTGGCTTCACTTTAGAGAATTTTTGATAGTAATTAATTTAAGGATGCAGAAATTGAGAGCTGGGGTCATTGTTCATACTGAGATAAATACAGAAATATCTTTCAGGAACAGCAGGGGAAACAGAAGGGAAAAGAGACGATTGCATCCACTTTCATGTAGTTTGTGGTTAATTTATTTTCAAATGTATAAATGAGTGCATAGGAATGGATGCTTAATTGCTAATATCTATTATTTATATACATTGCCCCACTTAAAACAGGACGGAAAAGCCTCGCACATGCAGATTTTGTAAAATGTGTTACATCCATTAGCACAGTTCATGGTGTGTGCTCTGATGGGAATTTAAAAGCATCTTTACTGCACATCACACACTATGTGCTGCAACATTACTTTATTATTAAATTGTGGCTCATCCTGTGTGGTCCCTTTCCCAAATAAAATGGAAAAAGTCCAGAGCACAATCGATGGCTCTGCTTCTGTTTCTATGTTCTGATTGTGAAAGCATCCCTGTGGATAATAAAATCAGGGATACACATGATATTAGAAAACAGTCTCCTTAGAAAGAATCCTGAGAATAGATCTAATTGATATATAATTTTGAATTTGAGACATCTCATCCAGGTGGAAAGGAAAAATCATAAATACAAGATACCTCAAAAGAATAGTCTTAATTACACCATGGACTACTGAATAAAATGATTACATTTTCTACACTGTAAATTTTATACAATTAAATGTAGTAGTGTCACCTTATAAAACATTTCAATTTTATAATTATTTCAGTTCATTTGCTCAGAAAAAAACATAAGCACAAATTTACTAAGTATCACCCAAATCGAGTCATTCTAGTTCTAAAGAACTGCCTGGAATGTTAGTTGTGCTTGTCTGAACTTAAATAGATCTTGACATATTTAAGTAGCTATTAAAATTGATAACATCAGGGATGATACTCCAGTTAGAGAAAGACATTCACTCACACTTTATTTATTCCTATTCTACATCACATATTTAAAAAAAAAAACTTAATGTTGGGGGACTAGGAATCATACTTTATACTTTTTACCCAAAAAACTTTTAGCACTCCCTTGGAGCCATTGTGTCATGCAGCTCATTACTATGCTGAGTTGTCTCTGGATGACACATGAACCACCAACATTAGAATACTGATTTGGGGACAGGTTTATTTTACCCTTTTCCCCTTACTTTGTTTTAGAGGGATGGAGGAGTAGTTGTCTATCTGGGGTCATTTCTGGAACAACCATACTCTTGCTACTTGGGAAAATGATTCCCAAATTAGCAGGGGCTGGTTTCCAGAATTGAGGAATGCTATAGAAAATACAGTGAGTAGTTGCCTCCTGTCCCTTTCCCGTCTTATCTCCAAACCACGGTGGCAAGGTTGCCAGCTAGGAGGGGAGTAAGGTCCTGTGACTGTGAGGCTGACCTCAGCTACATTTTTGGTAACTCCTTTGCACTGTTCCTTTTCTACTGTAATTAAACCTGATTCTTTCTAATGAGGCAGATTCTCCCTCTTAATTATCCAATCCCAGTTGTACAAGTAGTGCCTCTGGAGCTGCATTAATCATTCAGTGTCATTAGGGTATCACTTAGCACATTACAGCCTGGGATGTCCTAAAGATACCCTAGAGGTATAAAAAGAAAATAAAACATCCCTAAGCGGGGGGTTTGTCCTGGAGCTTCTTACTCACAACCAAATACCACTTTGGGCTGTAGAACCTGCAGGTCTGGGATGCATCTCAAGTCTTTAATTCAGGTTTAGGAGGGCAAAAAGGTGGGAAGAAAGATGGTACCCTGACAGCAGTGACTGGAGCCTTTGTAGGATCCCAGGTAGTCTAATAAAGGGAGTTTAGTATCTGGGTTAACATGTTACAAAGGTATTAGAAGAGGAGAAAAGCCAAGAAAAGGGGATAGTCAGGCCACCCCCAGATATTAGCAACAACAGGAAGACTCCGCCCCCTCTTCCCTTGGTCCCTTCAGTGCACTAGTAAATCACTAATACTGGCATTAGCTCTGGGTAACCATTACTAGAAAGATCACTAGTACTAGTATATGGCATTAGGAAGATCCCAGAGAGAAATGGGTTCAGAAAGAGATAATGCCAAGAAGAAGAAACAATCTGTGCTAAGACACCACCCAAAATAGAAAGGGAGGAGAAACACCCCAGGTTCTCTCTATCTTCTTCCCTCCCATTTGCCATCACTGCACCCTTGTGACTACAGCAAGCCAGAAGCCACTGGACAGAAGCGAGAAAATAGAGTTTGCCAGTCTTGGGAATACAGAGCTGAGCACGACAAAGGACAGGGAGTGCAGGGGCAAGCAGGCCACCAGCTAGCCTGTGGAGTCCTGCACCAGTGGGCTGGTGGCAGAGCCCATTTCCGATGGCCAGCCAGCTCCAGAGCTAAAAGCCAGGAGGAGATAGTCTGGGTTCAAAAGGCAGTTCAACTACATCCTGTGTTTCCTAAACTCTCTGAGGCTATTTCTTCATCTCAAAAGCAAGGACGGTAAGAAAACTCAACTCAGGGTTATTTTGAAACCTATGTGTGTTGGATATAAAGTGTAGAGGAGTGTAAATTACTTTATGTGAAAGAGTTTATATATATTATAGGTCATATATGTCCTGAGGGTATAAAAGAGAGCATGGACTTTGGATCCAGAAAGACTAAGATTTGGGTCCCTGCTTCACTACCTCATAGGTAAAGGATTTAGGACAGTCATTGATAATCTCCAAGATATGGTTCTTTTTTTTTTTTTAATACAAGAGCCAGGGTACAGTCTAGATGTGCGGGAGGATTCACCAGAGACAGAGTGGGGAACAGAACAGGCGTAATGATGAAATACACTGCTGAGGGGAGCAGCGGGGAAGGCAGGAGATGTCTGGTTGCCATGTGGGTTGCTCCAAGGCCGGCGGGGATCAAACTGG